AGCTCCTGTCTCTTGTCTAAGAGCAATATCAAAGAGCCTGCGTGGCATACTAGAAACTAAGTTTCGAAGAGTTTCTCATCGATTGCTCTCTATGCTTCGATAATCGCCCGCTTCAGCTCTTCTGTGCTCTGGAACTGACGGTTATTCGCATAAACTTGTCTGACTATTATACCCCAGATATGTTACATTGGACTGAGACCTGGTCTGCAGGCTGGCCATGGCAGGACGCTTCTTTATTGGCACTGCAGCCACTCATCCGTTGCACGGCTCACATGAATGGAGGTGTTGTTTTGTTGAAAGACATAGTTGAGGTGACGGCGATGGCATAGCAAGGGTACTAAATGATGCTCCAACACGGTCTAGTAATCCTTGAAATCTATACTGCAGCTCACGACAACACGACTTCATTGCAGAATGCACCCCACACCATAGACTTCCTCCACCGAAACTGCGACGGCTGAAGTAGACTGGTTCCTTTCTCAAGTCGCGTCAGTACCGCTTGTTTCCGTCAGGACGGTCTGGATTGAACTTCTTTTCATCCAAAAAGACGACCTGAATAGGAATTATTCAGCTCTATAGTGAGATTTTGACGCAGATCAACCTTTGCCCAATCTCTCCCTAGGTTCATCTTTGCAAATCCGAGTCGAGCCTCTCTGTAGCGATCGGTGATTCGTGGCACCTTCTCCATTGCTTGCCTGGTGATGTTCTCACATCTTCTTACTGCTCTCCAGACTGTAGTTTTTAACACAGAGAGGTTTAATTCCGATCGGATCTAGTTCAGGGAGGACTGTACTGTTGGAAACAGTCCTCAGAATCTTCCGCTCGTCACGAGCAGTAATCTTTCATGGGTGTCCACAGTCGGTGTTATATCTAGGGACATGGGGGCTCTCCAGAAATCTTTGAATGGACCAAGGGGATCTCCCTCTTGCTTGGAGATGGCTCGAGTACTGACCCCACCTTCATGATGAGCCTTCTCATCAGAGGAAAGCAGATGACCACGAGCCATGTTGACAGTCAGATTTAGAAATGCCTTTTCTACACATGCTAACCCTTATAAGTATCTTTGAACACGAAATTTCCTCTCTTCCATGAATAATTGTTCACTTTCTCAGGGTGACCTTATAATTATGAAACGGTGCAAAAACCGATAAACTGTTCTAGAAGAGTTCAGAAAAATGCAGCTGCGGCTAGAAAACGGATACCTAGGTTATTCGTGCTGGGGAATCCGTTCATGATGCTAGAAAAAATCCTTAATGATTGCTTTTTCTGAAACTGCAAAATTTGAGGGTGACCTTATAATTATGAAACGCACTGTATAATCTGACATGTCTAAGATGTGACGTTATGTAATGTAGTATAATATATGTCTAATGTAATGTAATATATTGTAAAACGTGGTAAATGGAATGTAATATAATTGTAGTAAATGTAATGCAATGTGATGAATATAATGTAATATAATTGTATGTAGTACAATGTAGTGTGATATAATGTAATGGGATATAATGTGGTGCATGTAATATACTGTAAATTGAGGTAAAGGTAATGTAAATGTAGCGTAAGTGCAATGTATTGTGATATAATGTAATGTTATGTAACGTAATGTAATATAGTTCATTGTAGTGTTGCGTAATATTATATAATGTAGTGTAATATGAATATGAGACGTAGTGTTATCAGGTAATGTAATACAATACAACGTAATGTAAATGCAATATGATTCAGTGTAATAGTACTATTTAATGTGATGCAATATAATGTACACTAGGTAATGATGTAAATGTCTAAGTCTAATGTAAAGGTAAAAAGTCATGTAATGAAAGTGTATGAGATGTACTACTGTAATGTATTAGGTTGATGCATAACGATTGCGGATTTTTTGCGACTTCTTTTCTCTCGGTAAAATTCGAATATCGACTTCGTATTTTTTATAGAAATAATCCTCTCGATTTCCTTAATAGGATGCATTTGAAAAGTCATCTTCTTATCCGCCACATTATGCTCTACTACTTCGAGAGAGGTTAGAATGTGGCAGAGTCATTTCGCGATCTCAGCGAATTTTTCGGGATGGAGCAATCAGTCAAAGCCAAGTAAGGGATGAGATCTGATCCTGAATCCGTCATATTCACCGAAAGAAAACCATATGGATTATCACCTCAACCGTTCCCTGAAAAATTGGCTAGCCAACAGAACCTACGACGAAATAGATGGCTTGATGGCCCATGTCAAGTGGTGGATTGCCTCCAGGTACCAAAACTTCTTTGCCTTGAGGAACCAACCGCATAGCGAATGAGAAGCAGTGCTTGACGTTCTTGGTGGATACCTTCCGGAGCAACTATTCTAACATTTCTCTGTTCAGTATTTTTATCGTTTCTTCAAAGAAAATTTGTTGAAAAAACCCGCAATCATTATGCATCAACCTAATAATATAGTGTAGTGTAATATAATATAATCCTTACTATATATAAAGCGCTCTGTCTGTCTGTCTGTCTGTCTGTCTGTTTGTTTGTTTGTACGGAAATTCGATATAACGTGAAGAAACGCCTGGAGAAGTCGGGTCAAGTTTGAAATGAGTTGAGCATAGGGTAAGTGCAACAGAGCACACATGAGCCCAGCGGAGCCCCGCACCTAAAGGGCGGGGCGTGCGCCGAAATTGGGCGGGGTCATGGGCGAATTCTAATTCGGTCTCATAACATTCCAGACACCGGGGAAAAATGTGCAAAGTTGAGGGATGGGTCAACAATCAAAATAGTTGAAACTTACCAGCGGTGGGCGGAGCGTTCCCGCAGTGGGTGGTACTTTCCACAGAGATTCATATCTCGATTTAACGAAGGCGTCGAGGCCAGGAAAAAAATAAAAAGAGTGAGCAAGACCTTATGCGTGCTGAGCATGCATAAGTATAGCGAAGCCCCGCCCACTAGGGGCGGGGCGTGCGTTGAGGTGGAAGCTACT